TGTGAGCCTTGAAACTTGGCATGTAGATGCTTGACAATGTATATGGGCATATGGGACTTGATTGAGCCCTTGAAAACCTCAACTTCCTTGCAGGAACCAAAACCCTAATTTTGACTGGCTTAGGAGGATGGTTTGACTGTGCAACCCTTGAGTAGACTTGAGCAAATTGAGATGATGCTTGTCAAAACTTTGAAGAATATGGGAGGGAAAATTTTGGGGTACAACAAAAGGCTTTCTAGCCAAGTTCCTAATAGACAGGGCCCAACTATTTTGGGATTATTTGGATTTACAGGACTTTGAGGAGGTATTGGACCTTCTAATCTATGGGTTAGTGCTTTTCCCTAATCTGGACTTACTCATAGATGTGAATGCTATCAAGATTTTCATCTCCCGCAACCCTGTGCCTACCTTGCTCGGAGATATCTTGAACTCTCTCTATACTCGTACCATGAAGAGAAGAGGGGTCCTTATGTGCTGCATGCCATTACTGTCGAGGTGGTTTATTTCTCACCTCCCTAAGTCAGTGCTGAAGAATGAAGAAGGTTTGGGTTGGTCGTAAAGGATAATGTCACTTTCTCACGCAGATATTCTCTAGTATTCCCGATTTGTGGGAGATGTTTCTATTATTGACCGTTGTAGGGAGTTCCCTAACGTTCCACTACTTGGCATTAGGGGAGGCATAACTTACAGTCCTTGTTTGGCTCTGCGACAATTTCGTTATGCTCGAAAGGATGGTCCTCATGAGTTACTTATCCAGGGCATTGTATTTAACTATGAGGGGGATATTCAAGGGTATCGTCAGAGGTTCATATGAGCTTGGGGCATGATAAACAGATCTGACGCCAAGACTTTAGGGCCGAAGAATTCCATTCCTATGGAACCTTATCTCCAATGGGTATGAGCTCGCGCTCAAAAACTTATAATGCCATACATAGCCGTCTTACCAGTGATTGTGGAGCCCGTTACTGAAGGGGATATTCCCTACACTATTCTTCATCCCGATATGCCCACTGATCTTGAAGAACTACAGAGGTCTTGGATCTAGTTGAAGAAGGAGCGGGATACTTATAGGGACCAATTCTATGCCCAGGAGAAGAAGGTTTTAGAGCTCACAAAGCGGCTTCATGAGGAAAGAAGCCTTAATGTCTATCTCAGCACGAAGAGGAGGCATCCATGGGAAACTTGATTTTTTTTATTTTTTTTTTATTTTTAGTTTTTATAATTTTTATTATAATGCCTAAGAGGCAATTGTACCTTGAATTATACTAATAAAATCTTTGTTTCATTTTGGTTTGCAAAGTTTAAAATTCCCAAAGTCCTTGAAATCATTGCATACGCATCACATCCATAGCATTGCATAAACAAGTACCATTACAGGTTTCTCATCATCTTCACTGTTTATTTCAGCAAGATGTCTTATGAACAAAGCATCAAAGATCTTCAGGCACAAAATGCCTAATTTCAACAGATGTTCATAAGTCTGGAGAAAGGGCAAGAGGACCTGAAGGGCCTCATCTTGAAAGAGAAAAAGAAAAAGAAGAAGAAGTCCGCTGGTATCCTTAATATGGGTAGAAGATTTGGGGGGCCGCTGAAGCAACCATTCGATCTGACCTCCTCGTCCAAAGAAGGGGAAAACCAAGAAAGAGAAGCAAGAGAGAAGAATCCTAGTCATGAGGTTTCTGACAATGATACAGACTATAATGATGAGCAATATCCTCCCATTGAGGATAGATACAAGCAGTTAGAGGATCAGCTGAGCGCCACAGAAGTCCAGAGAATACCTGGGTTAGACTTCGAAGAACTGGGATTGGTGTCGGGAGTGGTCATCCCACAGAAATTTAAGGCTCCAATTTTCGCAAAGTATGATGGGGTGTCTTGCCCAAAGCTTCATCTTCGTTCCTATGTAAGGAAGATCCAGCCCCACACCGCTGATAGAAACTTGTGGGTTCACTTCTTTCAAAATGCATATTTTCCTTCTTTTTACACTGTTTTTACGTTTCCTTCATGGTTATTCGATATGGTTGTAATATTTAAGTTCCTACTTCATCCCCATTTTTAAATTGTACCCTCATCCCCTAAATGATGTAATAGCGTAGGACTTTACATTTCCGCAATTTAACGCTTTCAAATACAAATGTTAATAATTGGAGTTTTGTATGGAAAGACTAAAACCAATCAATAGAAAACCCTAATCAAAGACAAAAACAACGCATGTAAATCAATACACTTGCACCCAAGCACACCTAGGGTAAACTCTACTTGGTTGCCTTATACAAAATGGTCATATTACGCATGTAAGGTATCTTAGCAAAAACAAGCAAATACAAGATCATAGTCCCTCGATGACGCTATCTAAGTTGCCTTACAAATGATCTTAGTCCCTCAAAAAAGAATGCTAAGATACCTTGTAACATTGCTAATCATGACTATACGATGACCCACGCTCGTCCCGCTTACATCCAAAGATAGGGTTGCTTACCAAATCAATGGTAAGACAACAATGTCAAAGGAAAAGAAAATGAACAAGAAAGACATTTGAGTAGGTAGATTGCTCCTAATTACTTGTTCCATTTCAAAACAAACATCCTTGATATTTTAAAAAATAATCACCTACACTTTCAAAAAGACCTTTCAAACTTGAAAACATTTTCAAAAGATCAACACTTTGTATACATTCTTACGAACGAGAATCATTACAAAGTTTGCCTAAACGATGGCGCCTTTTCAAAATACTTTCAAAAAACCACACAAAGTACAATTTCAAACAAAAGCAAGTGATCTAGCAAGTAACTAAGAGTCAGTGGAAAATCATGTATGAAAAGGGTGTTAATACCTTCCTTTTTCATAATCTACCCCCCGAACTCAAGAAACAATTTCAAAGGTCTTTCCTGTGCTTTTTCACCTTTCCTTTTGGATAAAAGAAAAGTCGATGGTGACTCTTGCTAACCGCAACATTTGCGATCAAACACAAAACCCTCAAGTCAGTTCTCCCACCGTATCACACCTACGCTATTACATTATTTTAGGGATGAGGGTACATATTTACAAATGAGGGGCTGCAAGAATTTAAATCCTATTTAACTATTACAACCATATTGAAATGTACAATGCAAGAGAGAAAAGGATTTGTTTAGAAAATGATTTTTTGTCTTAATTAATTAAGAAAAATTAATTAATTAATTAATAGAAGAAAATATTTTTATGTCTTTTTTTTTATATATAAATAAAAAAGGATTAATATTGAAAATGATAGTATCCATAATATATTCTAAACTCTAAACCTCCGAACATGCTTCATTTTCACCTGGGTAGTTCATTAGATTGTCGATATCCATCTTATTACGATAGCCACTTTGATTTATCATAGTCTCGAGGTCTTGAGTTTCTTCATCAAAAGTGGATTCATCCAAATTTCTTGCAACGTTACTAGCTGATCGAATTTTACAGTGTCAGAAGCAATTCTCTATTGTTTCTTTTCGAACATCTATTGTCCAAGCTGGGATTGCCAAATTGATAGCATCAAGGACATTTATCTTCACTGGATCATATTGTCCCACCTCATAACCTTCCAATATTTTGCGGTAAAACCTTCTATGGTAATGTATCTTAAAAGATCTTATTATCCCAGCATCACAAGGTTGAATCTTTGATGTCATGTTGGGTGGAAAGAAGAATAAGTTAACGTTTCTTATCCCTTTAATATTTCTTGGATGTGTTGGACAATTATTCACCACAAGTAGAACTCTTCTACCATGCATCATTTGATCAAATGAACGAACATATTCATCAAAAAACACACTAGTCATCCATGATTTTTTGTTAGCTCGATACTGACAATCCAAGCTATTCATGTTGACATTCTTGAAGCAACGAGGCTTTGCATATTTCCCAATAATCCATATAGGGATTTTTCAGAGTCGTCTTCATTGCAATAAATAACTATCGTAATCCTTTATTTATCTTGTTTTCTTCCTTCAAGTTGTTTTGTTGCTAGTGAATGATCAACTTGTAGCCTATAAAACAACCCAGTTTCATCCATATTGAAAATATCTTTCATAGGGAACTGATCAATTTTCTCCCGAATCGATACCAATTTCTGGTCCATGTCTTGTACATCAACATACCCACTCTCGCCAAAATGACGAAATGACTTTATGCCATGTCGGTGCTGGAATTTCCTAAGCCATCATATAGTGAAGTTAAAATCTGAATCATCATGAGGATACACGAGTTTCATTGTATCTCTTTCCTTCTGTAAAATTAATTCTCCTGTGATATTCACACGTTCTTGATGCTAGAGAAACCACTCATAAACAACCTTCTCCGTGTTAGGATATTTTATTGATTTGTGTCTTTTGATCTCTGCTCTTCTCTTTTCTATTTCAGCAGAGAGATAATCATCTGATCGCTTAAGTGTGTTTGATATTGTTCCTTGACTAACTTTCAACTAAAATTTCCCTCAAGCCATCTCTACAAGTCTTTTGTGTGCTTGCAGGATTATCTCTCTTGTACTCACACAACTCCTTACGTATTTGATCTGACATAGTTGATTTTGCAACATCTTTTAGATGAGAAGTCATCTTATGAGATATGGTTTGAATACTCTAACACATTCATGTAATTTATATATGTCAAAATTGCTTAAGAATATATTGAACACATTTGTTCCTCTTGTGCAACGTAATTCTAAGAAGCATAAACTAATTTGCTTTTTTGTTTGATATGTACAATATAATTATTTAAAAACTCTTTAAATTAATAATTATTAATTTACCGATAAATAAATAACTCTCAAAATGAATTGAGAACCTTTCTCTCCTTTTAATTCAACTAATAATATAGAAAAACAATGCGCTAAAAAAATATAAAAAACAAAAACTGGGCTGAACCGATAATGGAGAGGCCCATATTGACACATATAAGAAACGATATCAATTAGGGTTTTACTCTTAGAGGTTTTCGTCACCGCACGGACACGAGCTTTAGCACCAGCAGCAGCAATGGTGAGTAAACTCTACGAATTCAGATCCTCCCTATACTGTATTCCTAATTATTCTTATCTCTATATCTTCACTGTCTTCGTTTATATTTGTGCAATTTACACTTACGTGTTTGATTTCTCAGGGTCCCAAAAAGGGTGTTAAAGCTCCAGTTGCAGCTTCCAAGAAGAAGCCAGTAAGTAATTGCTTCAACATCTATCTTATTTACGATTCCATTTTTGCTTTTTTTTATTAATTGTATTATTTTGGGAATAATTTTTCAAGAGAAGGTTACAAATCCTCTTTTCGAGAAACGCCCTAAGCAATTTGGAATTGGTGGTGAATTGCCTCCTAAGAGGGATTTGACTAGATTCGTCAAGTGGCCAAAGAATGTTCAGGTTCAGAGGAAGAAGAGAATTCTCAAGCAGAGGTTGAAGGTCCCCCCAGCTTTGAACCAGTTCACTAAAACTCTTGACAAAAACCTAGGTTTGAAATAAACTGGTTGTATGTTTGAAATAGGTTTTCTTGTCATATTTTATGTTATTTTGTTCTTGTGGGTTTTGATGTTAATCAGTTAACTGCTTTGGTTAATTTCAATTTAGTTAGAGACTTTTGAGTTGCTTTTTTTTATGTTCTATACATTTTGATTCTATGATGGCTTATTTTGTTTGGATAATGATTTTAATTATATTTAATGGTTGCACCTGCAACAACAAGCTTGTTTAAGATTCTTCTCAAGTATAGGCCTGAGGACAAAGCAGAAAAGAAGGATAGGCTTTTGAAAAGGGCTCAGGCAGAGTCTGAGGGTAAAACAGTTGAGACCAAGAAGCCTATTAATGTCAAGTATGGTCTCAATCATGTTACCTACCTCATTGAGCAGGTTGTTTATTGATTTTGTTACTCAGTGATTGTGGTTTTTGTCTTGTTTGTGTATTTGTTTTGTGATATTGATGGATGGCGTGCTAAGCTGCTATCTTTTTCTTACAGAATAAAGCCCAGCTTGTTGTGATTGCTCATGATGTTAACCCAATTGAATTGGTTGTCTGGCTTCCAACATTGTGTAGGAAAATGGAAATTCCATACTGTATTGTTAAGGGTAAGGCTCGCCTTGGAACTGTAAGTTTCTTGTGGTTTCAACACTAATATGTAATGGGAGTGAGTTATGTTGACATTACTTTGTTAATTACTCATAACTCATCTATATTTTACAGGTTGTCCATAAGAAAACTGCAGTTGTTTTGTGCTTGACAACTGTTAAAAATGAAGATAAAATGGAGTTTAGCAGGGTCCTTGAAGCAATCAAGGTGACATTGAATTTTATAATTCTCTTTTTCCAGTGTGTATTGCCGTATTGCCCAATAAAACTTATGTATTTATTTTGCTTGTATTTCAGGCAAACTTCAATGACAAGTATGAAGAGTACAGGAAGAAGTGGGATGGTGGAATCATGGGTTCCAAATCCCAAGCCAAAACCAAGGCGAAGGAAAGGCTTATTGCCAAGGAAGCTGCCCAGAGGATGACTTAGAGTTTCTATTCTGTTGCTTGCTTCGCTATGTGTCATTTTCCTAAATTGAAATTTTACTGTAGTTTGTTTATCGGAGTTATCACCTCAAAAACGTTTGTTATTTACAATAGCCATATTAATTTTTGTTTCAGCTATTTGAGTTTAATTACAAACATGGATGCCTCTGAAGGCATAATTTTGGTCATAGAAACGTTGTTCCATTTTTTTTTTGCCTGTAAAATTATAATGGCCCAGTCGATTGGGAAATATTTTCTTGATCAAACATATTTGATTTTATTTGGCTTTAACTTAAAGTGGTGACAACAAATTCCTTAGAGTTTATACTATCTTTTAGATAGGAATAACTTTTTAGTTTTGGGACTGGGTCTGGTATGTTTCCTTGGTCAATATAACGTAACATGCTCAATTTAAAAACATTAAATAAGATTTGTAAATTTACATATGAATAAACATAACATGCTCAATTAAAAAACATTAAATAAAATTTGTATGTTTATATGTGAATAAACTTGATTTGAACATACGAGCTTAAAAATATTTGGTTTTTGAAAACAAAAAACACAAATAATCATATTTTGGAGAAATTTACACAAATAATTATGTTTTAGAAAATGTTATAATACATGAGTTATTTTAGATGGTGCATCCATTGATTTCTTTTTAAATGAGATACCAATTGAGATGACGCCTATTCATGTTTTATATCGATGTGATTTTTTTTCTATGATAACCAATATTTTTAATTAAAATTCTCTAATATATTTTTCTCATAAATTATTCAAATAATCAGGTGTGAGTTTTTGGGTTTTCAAGTTAGTGTAGTAGCCATATGAGATGACATATGCATGTTAATTTAAAAGGCATATGGCACCAAGGTTCATGGCATTTTTGAGCAGTCATCTCATACGGTGTTTATGTGTTAATTTTTTTTTAAAATAATGTAAAAAATTAATAAACAAAAATAAAAAACCACGATTTTTATGTAATAAAATCATTAGGGGAATAAATATTATATATTATTTATCTGTCTGGTAGTTGATAACAATCATTGGTTCCACACCCCGGTGATATTATAATTTGATGTCCCTTAAGCTTTTGATTTTGCCTTTGAGGTTCCTCTTGTGTTTGAGTCGAGGGCTTTGAGAGGTCAATGGAATCAGGGTCTATGAAACTTGTCAAGTCACCAAATAGTCCCGAAGACCCTCTGACAAAAATTCGGTTGCCCATGCTCTAAAAATTTAGTTGTGTTGGTGGAGGATTAAGATAGATGAGTGGTTGGTAGTACTGGCAGTTAAATCAGAATGGTAAAAAGAAAATGTTTCTTGTGGTGTTTGATAGCCATAGGTTTCTTGGGTTCTACAATGATGTGATGTTTGCATGTATGTTGGGTTGCTTGGGCTATATTCGTCATGTAGGCCCGTGTCAGGGCTATGGTGAGAACTGGAAGGGCCCACTCAGGTTGTTGGTTGTATGGTCTCTGTTCTTGGTACTGTGTTTGTATTTGTGCGTGTGACATGTATTGGTCTTGGTATTGATATTGGTCTTGGCATGGATATTGGTCTTGGGGTTGGAGTTGGGTGCTTGTGGATCGGTAACGTCGTTGTGTTGGTTGAGTGGTGGAAGTGTGTTGGGCTTATTATTGGGTGGTGTATGTGTGTTGGTAATGTTTTTAGGCAGCTGATGAGGATGCAACTCGTGTGTGTGGGTTGATCAAATACCCTAGATGGGACACAAACATCCGAGGTATAATGACCGATATGTACCAACATATATATTCTTCAGCATGTTTCATTTTGTAGTTGGGGGGACACAGGAAATTTTAGGACATGTTGACTACACCTCTTCCACATCTGACACCATTCGAGAGAATATTCTTTCCAATTTTTAAGACTCCATAGGGTGTCAACTCTAAGGAGATGTCATGGTGCCAAACACGCTCGGGGGCCTGGTCCTTCTTGATGCAGAGAAAAAATATTATTAAAAGATGGTAATAGTAAAAATAAATTAGTTAGAAGATGGTTAATGGTAATACATCATCTAGTCCGATGCGAGCCAAAATATTGTGATACAACTCTATATTTCGTCTAGGATTTTTGATGAAATCCATCACTCTGACATAAAACCTAAACTAAAAAGAGAGAAAACAAATCATTTACAGTTATTTTTAGTATAAAGTGAATAAATTTAAATAGCAAAATACACTTGCTTTGTCGCGTAGGGGAACATGCAGGTGTTTTTGTTGATGGGGCATTAACTCAACCAACATTCCAACATTATCACAGCAAAATCATATTGTCAAATCCATATGCAAGGGTATGGATTAATAATATTCTAGTGGAGAAGTGGACGAGGGTGTTTGATAATGGATAACGATGGGGCCACATGACAAAAAATCCAATGGAATCAATGAACAGTGTCTTCAAAGGTATATAAAACATCCCCGTAACCGCTTTGGTGAAATCAACCTATTTTAGGATGGGTTTACTGTTTGAGAAAAGAGGTGAAAAGTTGAGTGCAATGTTACAATAAGGACAATTATGAAGTGAAAGTTGCATGAAATTTATGATGGAGGAAAGTGCCAAATGCAACTCCCACCGTGTTACAAGATTCAACCGCCATAACCACAAGTTTATTATCAAAGAGACGATTGACCACAACGAGGGGATGCCAAGACAAGAGTATAGGATTCTACTACTATCTCGTTGGTGCGATTGCGGAAATTTTAAAGCATTTCGTATGCTTTGCTCTCATGTCATTGTGACATGTTCATATGCTCATCGAGATGCATTATCATTGCTATCTCCAGTTTACAAGGTCGAAACCTTGCTCAATGTATACAATAATGGCTTTTTAGTTGTAGCAAAAGAGGATTATTAGCCTGCGTATGAAAGGGAAGTAGTTTGGTATAACGACCAAATGCGAAGGAAGAAAAAGGGTCTCCCCAAAAGCACATGTGTGATACGGTGGGAGAACTGACTTGAGGTTTTGCGTTTGTATTCGCAAATGTTCGGTTTAGCAAGAGTCGCCACCGAATTTTTATTTTATCCTAAGGAAAGGTTAAAAAGCACAGGAAAAACCTTTGAGATGTTTTCTTGGGTTCGGGGAGTAGATTATAGAAAGGGAAGGTATTAGCACCCTTTCTATCCATGGTTATCCATGGGCTCTTAGTTACTTGCTTAGATCACTTGCTTTGCATTTTCAATTGTTTGAAATGGTGCTTTGTGTGTGTGGTTTTGAAAATGTTTTGAAAAAGATGCCTTGTCTAGGCAACCTTTGTAACAATTCATGTTTGAATGTTTTACAAAGGTGTTTGTCTTTTTGAAAAGATGTTTCAATGTTTTTTGAAAGTTTGTTTTGAAGTTGTGTTGTGATGTGTGTTTTGAAAAATGGCAAGGATTGTTTTGCAAGATTGATCAAGTAACCAAGAGCTATCTACCCTAAATTTCTCAAAGATCTTTCTCATGTTTTAACCCTTTTAACAGTATTGTTTCACCATTGTATTTGGTGAACAACCTTGTGTTAGGATGTTAACGGGACGGGCGCGGGTCATCGTATAGACCATGAATGCAATAGTGTCAAGTATTTTGGCAATTTTCTTGAGGGACTATGATCATTTTGTTTAGGCAACAAGATAGCGTCATCGAGGGACTATGATCATTTTGTTTGTTTTTTTTGTTTTGCTTTTGTTTTGCCAAAGTGCTTGACATGCAAACATGGCCCATTTTTGAAGGCAACAAGTGGAGTAACCCTAGGGGTGCAAGTGTGCATTGTGTTTGTTTTTTCATGCATATTTATCTTGAATTAAGTCAAGCTATTTGTTGATTTGATTTGCATACAAACCCTAAGTCTAAACATGGCATAATTGAAAGCTTTTAAATGCGGAAATTTAAATGCTAAGCTATTACAACAATGATTATGGGGATGGGGGTACAAGTTTGACTTTGGGGATATTTGACAAGAAATTAAATTCTA